CGAAACAATAAAATACTCTTTATTGAACAACTTACAACAGCTGATAATTTATATATTCTTCTATGGAATAACATATACAAGTCACTCTCATTATAGTGAAGTCATCAGGATATGAAAATTTCTTCACTATATCGAGAGATTCACTATATCAAGAGGCTCTCAATATAGTGAAGATAATATATTAGATATATAGATCTTCACTATAATAAGAGAAAATTTAAAATATTTAAAAACTAGGTATGTATAATTGACTCTCCATAAGTGCATCCCTTTATAAGTATGCTTCTTATGCACTGTTCCTCTATAAGTGCAATTTATGTAACATTATTTGTAGATTATTCTTTATAAATACACATTCCATAAATGCGTACTTATAGAAGGTTAGTTATAGTTTTGTATGGGTATGTAGTAGCCTTTGGCTACAGGTTATTTACATGCCTGTACAATAACATTATTGCACAGTGTCTGGTGTACAATCCCGTGCAATAACCAAGTTAAAAAAGCACAGATTGTTACATAAGATCTGTGTAATAACTCAAGTTACAAAAACAAAATACTTGATGTTATTTCAATATGCGAATAAAGAAAGCCTTAAAAAAGAATTTTAGATATAAGTAATGCTAGTAGAATATATTTTAATAAGTTAAATTATGACTTTTTAATATCATAAATAATTGAGCCTAACTTATTTAAATATACAAGCAATTTTTGATGTTAACCTAGTATAAGTATTCTTGCAATATATTAATTTAATGCTTCTTAACTTATTTACATTTTAAATAGATTTAAGTTAATCACAATTACACAATGTAAAATACACTAAACAAATTAAAATATATTTAAAGCAAACAACAAGTTTATTAAGCCAATTTACTTAAAAAAAAACTTTAATTTGTACTATGAATAAACGTATCTAAGGTGGCTTGTTGTTTTAAAGCAATATGCTTAATATTTACTTCTTTTTTAAGTTGTCTTAAACCCCGAATAAAAGAATCTTTAACTTTGAAATTACCATCAGGTTGTTGCTCAAGGAAAGATGAGATTCCTTTAATAAATTCCAAGGCCTGAACAAAGGAGATTAATTTTTTTGGACTTTTATCTTCCGGTTCAATGCATTCATGATTCTTAACAGACTCAATTATTTCTTCATCAGTTGGAATCTTAGTAGCAATAAGATTATTATCAGCAATTATATATTGATGCGCACTCATGGGTTGGTCCAGAGGTAACTGTCCAATTAAATTCTGAATTTCATCTGTAAGATCTGATTCATTAGTTAAACTAGAATTCTCAAAAAGAAATAATTCATCAAAAAAATCCTTTGGCAGAATGCCAGTTTTTTTCTAACAGTTACAGATAGTTTGTGAGATTACTTTTTTCCAAGCAGTGGCAGTAAAATCAATCGCATCCTTAATATTTAAGGGTTCAGGAGGTTCACCAGATTCTAAAAAAAAATCGAATAAATCTATATGATCTTGGCAGAAAATTTTTTTATAATGCACCTAAATTATATAAGCAACAATGTGTTAATAATTTTTAATAAAAAAAATTTTTATAAAAAATTATTTAGCTTACCTTGAAACTTCAAATAATTCCTGCATCACATGGTTGCAGATGAGCTGTTGTATTCGGAGGGAGAATATGAAGCTTTATATTTGTTGGAGTGTAGCCTTCTTCAAGTTCATGAGTTGATGCTCCATCCATGAGAAGAAGAATTGACTGACCAGCAAGTCTTATTTGATCATCAAGATGCTTGATATATCGATTAAAAATAGACGTTTGCATCCAAGCAGAACTGTTCCAGTAATAATACATAGGTAAAGTTGACTTATCAACATTATGAAGAGCTCTAGGATTTTTATATTTGTGTATAAATAAAGGAGAAAGTTTATGCTCTCCAGTTGCATTGCATGTTAATAAAATTGTTACACGGTCTTTGGCTTTTTTTTTCCCAAAACTGAACTACTAGCCAATGTTTTGTCTGATTCCATACGTCAGTATAATGCTGTCTCATCTGCATTGTAAACATCCTCAGGCTTATACTCTTTGATTATTTCATATAATTCATTATGAAATCTAGGAAGGTCTTCAAGTGGCGCACTTGCGGCTTCACCTTGATGCCTATATTCTTTTATATGATAACGCTTTTTAAAATTTGAGAGCCATCCTTCAGAAGCATTGAAACCCATTATACTAAGACCTTCTGCAAGTTGAACTGCCTTGTGTTTAATTATTGCTCCTGTAACTGTTTGTAATGCCTCAGTTATCCTTGATACCCAAAGAGCAAGTGCCTCTTCTAGTAGAGGAAACTTTGCAGTTCTTTGTCGTTTTAATTTAACATTATTAGAACCTGGTTCAAGTGATAACCACCTATCTTTTTCTCAAATAATATTTGAAATTGTTGCTTCAGCAACAGAAAATTGTTTAGCTAACTTGACTTGACTAACACCTTTCTGTTTTAGGTAACATATTTCTGCTTTTTGAGCACCCGTTAAGCTTTTTCTTTTTGCAGATGATTCATTTTCTTTATTACATTTTCACTTCTTTGGTTCCTTGGAAGATTTTATCCTATCACTCATTACTACGTGTATTCCTTTAATTTCATCTTGCTAATTACTGTTACTGTAATTTGAGAACACTACTGCAATTATATGATACTTAAATCACTGGGGTCTTCTTGTATATAATAACAAGAAAAAGAAAAACCATAAAAAAAAAAAAAATTTTCTTTTTAAAAAAAAAAAAAAAAAAAAAAACAAAGTGCCTAAGTTGTAAATTAAGTTTAGAAGTTTAAAGGTTCAAAGGTTTATTCGAACTCTCTAAAAATTAATGATAGTTTAATACATATTAAAGAGTGTCACTTATAATTTCTAATACATGCTTTTTATACATTTTTGCTTAACAATTACATATATACTTTTAGAATCTACTATATGTCAATATGCACTATGTAGCTAAAAAAGAGAAATAACTCCAAAGTCTTTACTATGATATATGCGTAACAGGAGGAACCATTAATGTTACACCAGATGAGGGATTATATCCATTACACTTGAAGTTGCATATAAATAATTTCAGTTTAACTGATCACCCTGTGTGAAGGACAGGGCAAGAGATTATATCCATAACATGCATTTTAGAGTAAACTCAAAATAAATAATTTTATTATTGATTGACTACATCGTGTGAAGTATTAATGTGTAACATTGATGGTTCCTCCAGTTTATATGTGTACATGATCATCAGGTTGCTTCATCTGATTGGTTGATTTATATCACATGACACCGACTTCACTATATCGAGTGACATTTTGTTATATCTGTTCAAAAAAAATCTTCACTATATCTTATATTGAGAGTTTACTATGTAACTTCACTATATTAAGAGAATATTTAATATATTTGGTTTTGTACTAAAAAAATTCTTCACTATAGACTGATCTTTACTATAACGAGAGTTCACTATAACGAGAGTGACTTGTATATATGTACCAAGAAATCTATTCATAGACCTACCCCATCTTGGTTTACTAAACTTTTCAATCTTATTCAAAACAATACAATTTCCCAAACATGGCCACATCTTAACTTACCAAATATTAATACCTTTATTAATTCCTTTGATACAATCACTCCTTATTATTTATTACTATTAAATAAATGGTCTATTGTCTTTAATAACTCACAAATTCTCTTCACAAAAAATTCACTTAACTTCTTCTCCTTTC